TAAAAAATAAAAACAAAAAGAATTTGCCTACAAAATTACCTGAAGGCCAATGTGAGTTTAAGCATGAGTACCAATTAGGAGGTAAATAAAAACACGTGGAGGAAAATCTGAGCGGTAAACAATGCTGGCAAGAGCATTTGTGCTTATTTCTAGGAAAGTTATTCAAATTTATGAAAGGACTTAAGTAAAGAAGAAAACATAGGTGCTCAAGGAGAAAAGTAATACTTTAATTGTATATAAATTCAAGGAACAGTCTGGAATGGTCCAAAAGAGGGGTTGTAGAATTGGATAAGAGTGGGATGAAAGACAACAAATAAGAAAACAAGGCAAACACAAACCAGAGTAGCATGTTAGATTCTTTAGAATGAGGATTGGGGGATCTCAGAATGTTTTGTTATTTGTTGTTTCTTGAATCTCATGTTTAAGGTAGAAAATTTCCAAACAATGAAATAAATCATTGCTTAGTTCCTACCGATCAATAGATATGCCTTAAGAATGATGACTATTATCATAAATATATTTCTGGGAAACATGATTTATATAAAAAGAAACCTGCAGTCTGAAAAACCTAGTGTAGACTCATTTCTCTAATTTTAACAATAAGAGACATATGTAGTTTGCCTCTTCTTTTATGAGGAGTTCATCACATGAACTCAAGTCGATTTTTTTAAAGGAGAAACTGAGGAGGGATAACAATAATTCTCCAAGGTTAAATGTTACGTCCCTGCCATGTACATCTTAGAACAAAAGTCATGTTATCATTTCAAAAGTACATGGCTCTTAAATTTTATCTTAGTTCCCAGAATAATATGGCATCTATTTAGTTGGTACCTGTTAGAAACCAGACTAATAAAATTATTCTTTTTCAGAGAAATCTCTACACTGAATTATCTGTCGTAATCAGAGTCTGAAGAGTTACCTGCGGAGCACTAGTAGCCACCAGGAAAGCGTTAGTCCTGCCTGGGTGGTCATAGTCATGCATGGCTGCAGCGACATACAGTGCCATCAACTCCAAGGCAGGGATGTTTCCAGAAAGACAGCCGTATTTATCGTCTGCAGCATTATACATTTTGGAGAATACATAGCCTATATGTCCATGCGTAAATCCACTGTCAGAATCTGAGAAGATTGAAGGAATAGAGAAAAGCATTACACATATCATTTATTTTTACTCCCTTTTAAACACATGCATGCACAGACGCACACACACACACGCACACGCACTCACACACACACACGCACACACACCCCTGTGTCTGTTTCACAAGCGGGCACAGATGTACTTAATACACACCTGAATCACTTGCTGATCCGGGGTCATTAACCACGGTGGAAAGGCCTGGAATAGGCTGTGTAGTAAGATACCAAACAGCATGTAAGACATCAGTGGCATGGATTCTGTTATGATCTGTAGCCAATGCAAAGAAATAGTCATCAACCTGTGAACTTTGGGGTCCAAGGACAAAGAGCGCCATCTACTGGAGACATGGTTTAGTCTAGTTAAAAGTCCCAGCTAAAGTCAGCCATGTTACCTAAGACAAGTACTCTATTAAGTACTGGTCTATAACTCTATACCGTCCACAGTAAGAAGAAAAATCAACACGCACAGTATTCATTATGCCTTTAGATGTTTGAAATGGAAAAATTTTTGTCCAGAGTCTATGAGAAATCTATGTATGTGCAAAACTGCTGGACTCACTCTGGAGCTTATTTCCATGCTCCTGTAGGCAGCTATGCAGAACACAGTGAAGGAAAGAGCCATGCCAGTCTTCAACCTGAACAGACCAATCATCTCAATTCCCTGAGGGTTCACATCTGACAAATGGTACCCAAATATAATTTGCAAATAAAACATAGTACTATTCATTCTTTGGCATTATCTTTAAACATACCAATAAAAAGTGAGTAGCTCTTCTTTTCATCCATAAAGCAAAATTCAAAGCCAAAATTAATTCTATCATCTGATCAAGTAATTCTAGGGTCAGTGAGATAGCTCAGATAGCCAAGCTTATGTGCAGGGACCTCGGTTCCATCCCCAGCACCACATGCTGCACCAGCCCTGTCCCCAGGGTGGGCGGACCCAGCCAGAGGCTGGGCATAGTGGTACACACCTGCAATCCCAACACATAGGTAGTACTTTGCAATTTTTTTTGGGGGGGGGCAGAACCAGGGATTGAACTCAGATCTTTGCGCTTGCCAGTCAAGCGCTTATCCTACTGAGCCATCTCCCTGGCCCCTACAATTATCTTTTTAGAGCCAGCAAGATAGCTCAGCAGACAAAACGCCTGCTTTGGCAGGTGCAGGGACCAAGGATAAATCCCTAGTCTCCCCGGGACATGCTGAGCCAGTGACTGAGTCCAGGCATGGTGGCACATGCCTATTATCTAAGTGCTGGGGAGGTTGAAAACAGGAGGACCACTATGAGTAGAAGCTCCGTAGTGAGACCCTGTACCAAATACATTTTAAAATGAAAGAAAAATACAATTATATTTATTTTTAAAAAATCTAATTTGGAAACATATTTCTAGGAAATACCTAAAAAGCAATACTGTAGAAAAGTAGAAATAATAGAGAAAGCAAATCCACTATTCATGACATTACCATAAAGAGGAGAGAGGGTCATTTACATATGCAGTTCAGGTTATCGTGAAGCAGAAGCAAGCCTGGTATTATCTTGCCTCGTCTTCATTTTCTGGTGACATTCTTTGAAGTGTTTTTTCTTATTTATCTACCTCTCTATCATACTGCATTAACTGATGTGGTTTATCCTACATGTAATGACTTTACACACATTTATTTCTTCTAAGCAGTATAATACCACTTCTTTAATACAAGAGATTATGTCTCTGAATAGTCAAAGAATCAAAAGAAGAGAAAATGAATGGAAAACAAGCATAACAGTGAGAATAGCAGGGAAACATTTGCATCCTGATTTTTTTAAAAAAGCAGACCCTTAGGGTGTGTGTGTGTGTGTGTGTGTGTGTGTGTGTGTGTGTCTGTGTGTCACTGGCAGCTCTCAGGTGCCTATTTTCCAAGCAACTCTGAAAACCCTTCAAGGAGGTTGCCTTTAAGTGTTAGTGTGTCATGAAATCTTAGGTAATCATGCCAGAAGCTGAGGAAAATTCAAGACAGGCACCCTTTAGGACCCCACTAAAGAAAGAACAGGGGCCTGGGAGATAGCTCAGTAGAATAAGTGCTTGCCTGGCAAGCACAAGGGCCTGAGTTCAATCCCCGGTTCTACAAAAAAAAAAAAAAAAAAGAAAGAAAAAAAAGAAAAAGAAAGAAAGAAAGAACAAAACTCTTTCCCTGTGTCACTGGTAGGTGTGAAGCCCTGTGTGGTTTTCACAGTCGTCATTTTATTAAGATTGAAGTCTGCACACCTGATCGTAGGCCACCCCAAGTCTGCACACTTTTGGGCACCTTACGGATAAAACAGTTACTTTCACATGTCATTTCCATGTCTGTGCCACGTGCAAAGTTGATCATGCTAGAACTTCTTGGATTTTCAACGGATTCAGCTTTTTGTTCTAGTCTTTGTTCTCCACACTACATCGCATGCTACATAAAACTGATTTTCTCATCTCGACAATAAGATGGGTTCAAAAACCTTATTTCCTTATTGTCCACATATGGCGATAAGTAGTAGTGTTAATTTCATAGGACAACTGTGAGAATCACGAAGTGATTGTATTTTAAGGTCTGCACCACAGTGTGAGCTTGCAGTCAGCGGATGATGCACGCGCTGCAGTTGATCCTGAAGAACAAGATGGCCAACTAACGTGGAGCACATTCTCACTCTGAAGATTACTGGTGAATTTGTACGAATAGGATTGAAAAACTCTAAACCTGTTCAACTAATGGGCTTAATGTTCTGACATTTCTTGTCTGAGCAATGGCACGTGGTGTCATCTGCACTTAGAACGCAGTGTCATCCTTTTGCATCACTCCTTAAAAACTGCAATGAAAATGAAGACCCCATTTCTTCTAGGTAGGTTAAATGCACAGAACACCCAAATGGCACTCTTTGGGGGAGGCAGATGACAGTGGAGACCTGAAAGAAGAAAAACAAAAACAAACAAAAAAAAGAAACCCAAACAAACCAGAGTGCCAGGTAGAAGGCACAATGCCTGGGAGCAAGCTTCTAAATTCGGCTCTTTTCCCTGGTTGCAAACTTGGAAGATGACCACACATAAGCCTTTTCCCGGACCAGTGCAAGTAAGAAAAACCCAGCATCTCCAGGGCCAGGGGCGGGCTGAGCCTGCAAAGCCATGCTATCCCATCTTGTCCCCTACCTCAAGGCTCAGCTCCTGAAGACATTACCAGAAAGTTTGGCAAACTTTCAATGAAAACACAGTCCAATTTTAGCAGATTATTGCTGAAACTATAAGCAGAGATGTGACGTGCTCACCTATGAGCTCAGTATAAACTTGATTTTAAAACTAGCCAAAGTATCTGAAAAAATAAAAACAAGAAAGTCTCCTTTTGCTCTTAGATATAGGGTCAAATTCACCAAACAAAAACACAGCTCACCAAATTCAACTGCTTAAACAAATTCTCATCAGTTACTTAAATGGAATGGGGAACCATCTGCATAGTCAGCAGACAGTAACATGTTGAGTGAACAAATGTTCACTCAGCACATGCTACGTGAAGTACTGTGCTGTGCCATGTGCCCGTATCTCTGCGGTTCTTTAAATTTTTTTTTCCTGCATTTTTAGGGAAGGGTCTACAGGGTGTACAGAGTCTCACTAGTAGATCAGACTTGTAGTGATTTTCCTGTTTACAGCCTCCCAAGTGTTGGGATTACAGGCACATGCCACCATGTCCAGTCTCATTCACTGTCTCAGTGTGCTTCCGGGATGGGGTTGGCATGGCAGGCCCGGGGATTGAACCCCCGGCCCCTGCACCTGCTTGCAGGCGCTTTAATCCACTGAGATATTTGGCCAGCCTCTGTAGTTTTGAACATCCACTTCCTGCTGACCCAACTCAGAAGTGAATGTAGTAAGAAAGAAGCCTGCCAAGTCAGTATAAGTCACTGAGAAGTTCTCTTAAGATACATGCTTAGGGATTCCTGTGCTTGCTCTAGCCACATTAGGCAACTGAAAAGGATGAGATATGCTGTCAGGACTGGGTTTGTTTTACCTCCTAACATTCCCCTCCCATCATATCTATATTTTGGATTAATTCTTACCCTGATAATTCATTCGTCTATGTGGGAAATCCTTCTTTTCTGACAGTACACTAACACACATGCAGACACTGACATGCGACACACCATGTAGGCATACATCTCTCCTCTTTGCCAGCACTGCCATCTCCTGCTTCTGTCTTAACAGTGTTGTCTCAACTCCCCCCTTCCCTTCATGCACAGAGTGGAAGTGAATCGGTATAGAGGGTTGGGGTGTATGTCAAGTTTATAGATTTTTAATTCGAAGCTTGTCTTCACCATAGGGTGAAGGAATCAGTAAAGAATAAAAGCAATATTTTAACATATTTATTTTTGCACCTGGAGTATAGCTAACAGTGTAACAGTTCTGCCCCATGACCTTGCATTCATGTCATCTTAGTATCTAGCTTTAAAATATACAGACCAGATATTCTCCTTAACTGTTTAGTAGAGTGTGAGGGGTAACTTTGGGCCATTTTCTTCTGTGGATTATGACAGTGGCCCCTGAGCTGGTCTCACTAGCTCACTACTGCCACTTTTGTGTTCTCCATAAAACTATCTCCCCAGAGACACAGTGCGACTCCCTCTTCAGCCTGTGATCTAGCTTCCCTCTGCCCTTACTATAAAAGCCACCACTGCCTCTCTCAACTCATGGTTCCACACATCGACTATCGACTATTCAACCACCCCAGCCTTGCCCTGGCTTTCAGGCTTTATTCCTGTCCATGCCTCAAGGCCTTGACATTCACTGCTTCCTCAGCCTGGACTGTTCCTTTCCTTCCTACCTTTACATCCCCTCTTCTAACCTCAGGTCATCATATCTTCTGCAACACCTTCTTCAAATCTTCCATAAGAGTCATGTTCTGGGGTGAGATGGAATCTCAGTGTTGTTTTAATCTGCATTTCTCAGTTGATCATTGATATAGAACATTTTTTCATATATTTACTTGCCATTTGCATTTCTTCCTTTGAGAAGTGTATATTCATCTCGGATGTCCAGTTTTGAATTTTGTCTATGAATTTGGGGGCATGATTTTTTTTAACTCTTTGTATGTTCTAGATAGAAGGCCTGTGTCAGGGGGATAGCTGACTATAATTTTTTTTTCCCAGTTTGTGGGTTTTCTTTTTACCCTGCTGGAGATTTCCTTTGAAGTTCATAACTTTTCAAAAAGATGAGATCCCAGTTGATGATTCTTTGAAATATTTCCTGTGAGGTTTTATTTTTGTTCATGAACAACTTA